ACTAAAACAATGGTTTATAAGCTGTCTACATGAGACTTCCCCAAGGACTTGTTAGAAGTACAGGTTGCTCCGCCAGAAAGAGTAAGTGTAGGCCTGGTATGTTTGTGCTTTGTCCTGAAGATTATTGTCTCCTGCCTTTGCTATCTCCCCTTATGCCCTACTACCTAGAAATAACTTGAAATTATGTGTGTATAAGTACATACACAATTTCAAATGTCTCCTCAGCTTCTTTGTGAGCTCAGAATACACTGAAGTTCTGGATTGTAAATCATGGAAAAAAATTGTGGCTCCACAGGGCAGGATCGATGGGTAAAGCAGGGTAGTGCCAAATAGAGTAGAGGTTGAGTTATCCAGTATGGCCTCTGAGTGTGAGATCTATAAATTTTGAATTAGATTCTATTACAATTATTCAAATTACTTGAATACTGAGATCAGGTATCTATAGTGGCTTCATCTGGGCCTATGTAGATAAAAAAAAAAAATTTTTTTTTCACCCTAAGATTCTGTTAAAAAATCAGAAATAGGTTTCATTACTGCTTTTCAGCAAATATTTATCTACAGCCTCTTCTACTTTACTCCTGCCCCCCCCCACCCCGCCCCCCAAGAACATTCCTCAGTTCCGTACATTATAAGAAGGGAGGCTGGCCAAACTGAAAAGCAGTGGGGTTGGTGACATGGTAAACATTACTGACTGTGGAACTCACCCTTCATCTTCCACTTAACAGATGTCAACCCAATTCTGTACAAAGAAGCAGCTAAACAATATTTTCTACAAGTAATATACAAAGACATGATCTGACTGCCATGAGGTTGTGTGGTTTAGTTTTTAGTTTTAAATATTTATAGCCCTAGTAGGAGACTGAGTTAAGACCTCTGTCCTTAGTCACTGGACTAAAGGTGAAAAAAAAAAAAAAAGCATAAAAACAGGGCAGTTACAACTAGTGCCATCTACTGGGGGATTACTGTATTTCTGTAGTTTAGGAATCTTCGTTTAACATGGGGACAAAAGGTACCGTTATTCCATGGGATAGAATTATGTCTCTTGGCTTAAACCCCATAAGGGAGAGTGTTAAAGGATGGTTGGGGCATTTGTTCAATTCTACTTTATGAACAAGGAACATCTGTGACATCAAAAATCCATTTGCCTCA